CAGCTGAAAATGTTGGTTTAAAGGTCTGTTAGAAAACATGTACTGAAATTGTCTTAAATAAGTTGTATTAGAAAAAACCAGCAGAACTCAGTGCACAACATGCACGGAAAAAGGACTCCAGAAACCTTAACAAAATAAAAATTTAAGCCAATATTGTATATAATGTCCAACATAATTTACTAGGAGGCAGTTGCATGTATGAGGGGAAATTCTGCACTCACAGTAATGCCATGACAAGGATGGTCCGGGAATTTGACAGCTAAATATGTCATCTATCATCCCCAATGGTCTATTAAGAAAAGTCCTTTCACTCTGATGGATGTTCAGCCAGTTGAGATTATTGTGAGTGTTCATCTCGGGGAAACTCCACTACAGCCAACAAAAAATGCCTGAGGAATGTGAGGTGGATAAAATGTGATCTGTTGGTATCCACGTAAAAGATATCCTAATGATTTCCACTTCTGATGAAAGTGAGATTGTTCTGGATCACTTGCAAAACACCTTAAGAGTTGTGCTGAATGCTCGGCGTTGGCACAAAAATAAGCAGCTATTTTCCACCTTAAAGCTACTTGAATAGAGTGCAAATTGAAAAAAAATATAAAGGAAATCATCAGGGGTAAATGTGTTTACTCAGAAACAGTGTATATATCCTATGTCCTAGGATTTGCAGCCCTTTAAATTGCCCTATATAAATGTATCTCTGTAGACGTGCATTAAATAGAGATAAAAACTAAAGTGTGTCTTTCACACTTACTGTTGAATAATATCGACTGTGCAGCAGAGAAAAGCTAGTTATCTCTACTTCAAAACACACCAAATATATGTATATACATATACAGTGACCATCAGTCTTATAGAAATATGTAGTTTTATTGTTGTTGTTAGTATTCACTTCTCAATTGTTTTTGCTTGTGTGTTACTATGGAAGATTTTTAAATCAGGATATAAAGAAATGCAATACAATGGTTTTTTTTTTTTATACTATACATATAAATACATATTTATCCGTGATTTCTGTTGAGGAAAGATGTAATAGACACATAATTATTTTAAAATGCCTCAAATTTGGAACAAGATGTTCTTTAAGGTCCCTTCCAGCCCAAGCCAGTCTATGATTCTGTGAAATCTGTGGGGCTGGAAGCGCAAATTGAAAGTCTGTCTTGCACTCCAAAATGACCCTGTAGGCCTTTGCAATTGCAAGTGGTGCTACTCAAAAAAGAAGGGGAAAAGAAAAAATGATAGGATTAGCACCTTTTTTGTTTACCAAAATAAATATGCGGGGTGTTACATGGCAGCTGGCCTCTGTGTGTGTGTGTGTGTGGTGTACAAAGTCCCTGGTTTCCAGGAGCAGTTGGACTGAACAGACTCTGGAAAAGTGATATTTCTGGCTCTTGATCCATGCACCTTGCCCAGAAAAGCTGTGACAGCTTTGTCTACCTGCTACATACAAAACTACTCTAGTTTTTTTACAGTAAGTGCTACAAATCCTCGAGCAATTTGGGATTTCCTAGATGTGACATCAAACCATTTCCATCTCGAAAGGATAAGACAGGTCCCAGAGGAATACAAAACTGAGAAGTGGGGATGACTTCTGTCTTGTTCCCAGTTTGTAGCCTCTTCACAGACCACCTGGTTAGTAACCTTGGTGGAGGGTGGGCAGAGAAGCCCCCCCAGCCCAGGGGGATCTCTGAGATTGGCCTCGCTCAGTGTGCCAAACCAATGTCAAGAGGGGCAGACAAGTGCAGCCAGCACTCTAAAGACTGGCTGCCAGGTAAATACCTTGCTGTAGGTATTTTTTTAAATATTTGTAGATTAGGCCAGTGGAACTTTCAGTGAAAAAAAAAATAAAAAAATGTGTTTCTGGATGAACACCAGTGATTTCTGTATCTGAAGTTTTATTAAAATGGGCTATGAATGGGTATATTGGGTGACTGCCCATCATTAGAGGAAAACTCCCATGGCTGTCATAGAACTGGGTTTCTTAGGACCTTGGATTTCATAAACTTGCACACAGCCAGAAACTGGTTAGTTTGTTTGCTTACACTGAAGGTGCTGTACCATCTTCCTGTTAGATCAGGATGAGTACTCGTATATTTTTTCTTTTTTTTTTTTTTTAATGTGGAAATTGAGTGTCCCTAGAAACCCTTACTTGTAGAAAAGAGTAATCTGTGACAGTCTAACAGAAAATAATTGCCTTGATGTGACCCATATTGGTGCTGGCAGGTCATCTGGCAAGCAGCCCTGCCCACAGGCATCTCTCAGGAACAACTGCTCACTGGAGACTAGGGGTGGTGCAGTCATGCCAAAAAGTCATGACAAGTCTATTACTGATATAGGAAAGAACTGAGCTACATATCAGAGTCAAAAAACCTTCTGAAAGATGGAATTCAGCTGACCTAATTTTGCAGTTTTATTTAGCAGTGAAGATGATGGTGTTGTAGTAATAGTGGGTGCTTTGAGAAGAGAAGCTGTTTGATAATAGAACTGAAAAATATATATATATAAAGCATAATTGAAGGAATTTTCAAAGGCATGAAGCAGAACTGGGCTCTTATTTTTTCCAGTGCAGACTTTGAAAGATAACTCACAGAAATGAAGAGTTTGACTTGCTTCTCTGCAAGTTTTTCTGCAAGCTAAGTGCTCATGGACAGAGTCTGGTTTCCTCTGCATATACCTTCAGTGCATTGTAAACAATTATTTAAGTATGTGAAATGCAAAGCTTGGTTTTCAGTCAAGCTTGTAAGGTTTCACCAGGAGGATGCTGTAACTCCTAAATTATTTCAAAGGGAAAAAAAAAGATAAAAGGTTTCATGAAGCTTGAAAAAAAAAATGTTTGCATTTGAAATCCTGTAGTGAAAAGCTTTGAGGAGGGTTCAGAAGTCTTTAAGTAAATTGGGAAGGAGTTCATAATCCGTATCCAAACCATTTCACTCTGGAATACTTGATGGCATTTTTATTAGGTAAGCTATTACTCTAGTAAATAGGCTTCAGTCAGACAAATAATAGCATATTCAATTTTTTATGAGATATTATTTTTAATAACAAAGATCCTGTTTGCAAAGTCTTCCTCTAAGGCTCTCACAACATCAGCAAGCAGATAAACCTTCACAAAAATTTCTTTTTCAGGTAAGAAGTCAGTCTTAGTCCTAAAATGTTATAGATTAAAAACCACCTAAATAAGATGCAATAAGCCTTCTGGTGTTCTGGCCAAAAGGACATAACTCAAATTTAAAGGGACCATTTACTGCTCCCAGGTTTGGCTGGTGTCTGAGCAGTGCAGCTATGGCAAATTATTTTTAAAGTTTCTTACAGAATCTGACCCTGCTGGCCAAGGTAATCATACAAAAATTGAAACACCTCAAAAAAAAAACCTGTGTTTTGTTTTGGGAGAGAGAAAAGAGGGGGACTTCTAGCATAGGAAAATGCACTTCACTCTTTTGAAAATTAAAGAGGATGAAAATTGGAAATTTTCCTGTTTTCCACTGTTCTACAGATGGGAAATTCTGTAAACATCTGAAAACCTGACACTGGGAAAGTGCTTTCCTGACAACAGCCTCACCTAAAAATCTCAGATTTGCCCTTGTTCTGTAGAAGTGAGTGCACCGTGCTGAGAAATTGTGTATCATTTGCTAAGGTACAATCTTAAGCAGGAATCAAATTCTGAAACAAGAAGCACTGCTGTGCACAGGCATTTATTCCCCTTAATTAATAAGGCTTCCAGCTGCCTGGTTTCTCTGGTATCCTGTGCAGATTTACTGGCTCAAGCAGTCAAGAAATCAGGAGAACACATGTACTGTCATTGACTGTACCTTCTTTTATTCAATGGGAAGAAATTTAGCTTTGCAGAACTGTCATTTCTTTCAGTCCAAACAGAAAAATCGCTCAATACATGTATTAGAAGGCATTTATTATTTAACAAAACAATTATTTGTATGGATCTTTTTTATCTCTTCACCCCCTCATTTCTTCCCCTGGTAGTCAGTATAAAACTAACAAATCCTCACTGGAGAGCTGTTAACCAGAGACTGTTTGAACTATTTTATTTCGACTGTGAGTTGGACTATTTTTCATGATTCAAGTTAAATTGTAAATAGCGACCTGCCAGGTTTGGTTTCTCCTGCCCTCCATCATTTATGAAAACTCTGTGACTTAGTCATTCATAAGGGACACGAGAAAGGACACTTCAAGGTTTCTAAACTGGTGTCTGAATTTTGACTTCTCTGTACAGAGGAATTATTTTGCTTTTTTTCCCCTGACTCCACCCTCCTGAAGAGTTTCAGTATGTCTTGCAGACCTTCTGATGAAAGCCAAATCCCTAAGGATAGTTTCAGTGCATTTTTTTTTTTTTTGATCCCTTTTAATTTTAAGAGTTGTGGGAAATGCAGAGAACCACAATAAAACCACCAGTATTTCGGTGGAAGGAAATTCACTGTTTGTATAAAACAACAGCCTGGATTGCAGAGTGCCTGGCTCAGCCAGCAGCCCATTTTGAGTGTGAGGAGAGGAGTGAAAGGCATGAAAAGGAACATGTTCTGCCAGCTTGCAGAGATGGGAGGTCCCAGCAGAGAGAGGCTGTGGAAGTCTGAATTAAGCTAAATCAGCTCATGAACTTGTCAGCTCAGGGTCTCAGTCTTTCCCAGAATCCACAGAAGTCACGGGAATACAAGTTCTGAAAATGCTTTTTTTTTCTCCTATGGCATTTAGATAGAATATCTTGATTATATATATATATGGAAGTAAAGCTTTACAGGGGAGTGCTTTAATGAGAATGTATATCAAGACATGCCCTTTATAAAATTACCTGAAAATGCAGTGTATAAAATAGTTAGCAGTTTGCAGTATCTGCCCTTTCTGTTTTTCATCATTACCCTGATTTTTCAAATGTGACTTAATTGATATTTTTGTCTCAATTATATTAGCTTTTTAAAATTATTATTATTATTTTAATTATTATTATTTTAATTATTATTTCAACCATGATTTCATTTTTTATTTCCCAGGTTCATCGAAATGTCTCAGCAGAGAAAGAGAATTTTCCTGTGGCCTTGAAAAAGAAAGAAAATCAGAGCACCCAGGAGTGTGATTCTCAAAATGTAAGATTAACTCACCTGGAAACCTGGGTCTAAACTAGGCTGTATGAAAACATCAATGTCTCAGGCAGCTGTCAGTGGGACTTTTCCAATCTAAAATGGTACACAGATTTTAAATAAATAAAACAGGAAAAAAAATCAGAAAAAATGATGGAAGCAAAATTTGCTGAGAGAGCTTGTTGTCTGCTCAACAGGCCAAAAAGCATAGTGCTACCTTGACTAATTTGCAGGTGAAATGGATATATATTGAATATATTGTTGTATCTCCAGACACAACAAACTCCTGTGGAGGTAACTTGTTCATAGTAGTGTGAACAAAACGTTGGAAAACGAATCTTAGATAATTCAGCATTCAACAAATGATAAAACCCCTGCATATAGTATCCATTTATCACAAATATGTTCAAGGTTATTCAGTCAGAAGCTACTTTTCCTCTGCCACATCCTTCAGAGGAGGGCAGGGCCAAGGGGAAATTATATATCCAGAAGAGTGCATAATTTGCTGTTGCACTTTTCTTAATGTCTAAAGGTAAAGGAAACTTAAATTTCGTTAATGAAAATTCAAGGAGGAGAAGAAAAACACATAAAATCAGGAGGTTGGAGTAAATTCCATTTAGATTATGACTACAGGTTAGTTATCACTTAGGAAACTTATAGCAGGTTTGATGAAATGTAGATTACTTTAGGCAGAGGCTGAATTAATTTAGGCTGAAAATTTGTGTAAAGAGGCTCAGAGAGCTCTTTTTTTATAGGAGTGAATAAATTAAAGGAGAAAGAAAAAGAAAAATACTGTTAACACATTTCAAAAATCAAAAGTGGTGCAGTGAAAGGCACCTAAAAGGTGCACTTTTCCATAAACTCAAGGATTTGGTCTTTTTGGTTAGGGAGTGGTTGCTTTTTGCACTTCTAGCAAGTAGTGGTTTTAGCCATGTAGTCAGCCTGGAATGCTGCTTGGTATAAGAAATTTTTCAGGGAAGGCAGATGACTCCAACTGGAGTTAGAAGTGTTGATGAGTTGAACTGTTTTTCAAGATTCAATTTAAATTAAAATCTAACCCTATTCCCTGCGTTTGTCTAAGTAACATTATGATTCAAGTAAAAAGAAATTAGGCTACCTATCTGAATTCGAGTAATAGGATTAAATTTTATATCATTTAATCTCTCAATTAGCATATTTTAAGACCAATTCTATATTCTGTGGGACTCACATTTCCTTTAAGTTTTAAATCTCCAAGATTTGTTAAGTCTGTGTTTGACAAAACCTTCTGCATGGAGGAAAAAGTAGTAAAATGAAAGAAAGCATACCTTAGGGGTATTCAAATTAACTGTGTCTTGCTAGATAATGCTCCTTATTGTAAAATTAGGCAGGCAATGCTTTTCTCAGTCTTATCTTGCTCCTAAGCATGTTCCTGCTAATAAATTCGCTTTTCTACTGAAAATTGAGCATTATGTAATATTCATAGTACCATTGTGTTCACTTTTAAAAAAAGAAATCAATCCAGGATTCACACTCGTGCACAACATGCTGTGCTTGCAGTGTCTGTTGAAGGAATGGGCTTTGATAGCAAATTTACAAAAAGTTTTGTGAGGACAACCACACTTCTAGGCAAGGAACTCATAAATACTGTGGTATTTACCCCAGTCAGGAACAGAATCTCCAATGTAATTAAAAAACTTAAAATACAGGGAGACGTGTTCTCTTTACATGTGAGACTTTTATGATGTATCTTTTTTGTATATGGATGTAAAAATCTGAGGCCATCGTGGGAGAATAAAACATCCTGGTTTGTCAGCATCCCCTCCACCTTAAATAGCACAGGAGATCCAATAATGAAAATGGGGAAATGTTCTTGTAAATTGAAGGATTGACTAAAAGAAAGTAGAAAAGGTTTCAAAGAGAGCTAAAGCACTATGTTTTTTGTAACTGTTCCAACTATTTTACACATTCTAAGGTCCATTCTTGACCCCTTTTCATCCTGTGGTTTGCTCACACTGATGACTACAATAATTTTCCTGGTTGTTTGTTTAAATTGAAATTTTTTTCTTTACCCTGTACACGCTGTCCACCTGAAAATGAGCTAACATGGGCATAAAAGTAGTGCAGCTGATGATGTTGGCTTAGCAACCTCTTCCCACCTTTTTTTATTATTGTTATTATTTCTCTCTCACATTAACATATATATATGTATTTAGAGACAAGGAAGAATTCAAATTAGTCAGTTTTGAGAATTGAACTAAAAATGTCTCTCTCTACAATTACCCTTTGCATGATGACATTAGAGGTGCCACCTGTAATTCTGAAAGAACTAGAAGGAATTTATCCTCCCAAAGGATCCTGTTACTTCAGTGATACAAAGCTGTAATTTGTACCTGTGAGCACTATCACTTTAAGAAAATTCCACACTTGGGAAGAGTTTTTGTTGGATTTTTTATCATTACTTGGTTGTGGGTTTGTGTTTGTTTCTGAAGATTTTACAGCTGCTTAACTCCCAATGAAGGAAGAATAAGACTGGAAGGTCGAGAACATATGACAGGTTCTAATTCATCATTTGTTTAAGAAAAATAAATGAAGATGTTATTAAAACTCTGTTGCTTAGAAACCTAATATTTCAGCAGTACTTTCTCAGAACTTTGCAAAGATCCTCTGATTGTGTCTCTGATAAACAAAATGTGATTTATATTTTGGAGGAATTACTGTACTAAAGACTAACTACAGAGGAACAAGGAATATTACAGATATTAAGGCAGAAAATAAAGCAAAATGTTTAGTTGCTGGTTTCAACTGATATTTTTTAGCCTGTAGTTCTACTGCAGTTTTGTCTGTATGGTTTTATGCCTGTTTACAGTAATTAATGTAGTTCACATTAGAATGAATACAAATTTACTGACAAATGGAATACAGATAGGTGAAATTATATCAGCAAATTTGGAAATTAGACACTGCTGATATTTACCTGTCATGAAATTTGGCGTGACCAGGAGTAACCAGAAGCAGGTAGGATATCCTTTTATATATAATCTGAAATTTGTCAAAGACCAAAAAAAATTAACTTCAGTTTTCTTTTAAAAATTCTCATTATTTAGATTAATTTTATTTTATTAGGGGAATCTTGTCAATACTACTTTTTCTTAGCCTTATCCAGAGATGTTTGCCCTACAACTGCCTCCTGAAACTCTCTGCAGAAACAAAGTTTTTGCAGAATCAGAGTTCTGCAGAGCTCTTTGCCCTGTATCATTTCCCTTTTCTGTCTTCCCAAAAACTTTTGGGAGTTTACTTTGGCTTTTATGCCACCAGGATGGGTTTTGTTTCCTTTTCCTATCAAATAACTCTTACAAGTGTAACATATAATTTAAAACTACCTATTTGGTATTGCTAAAACATTGAAAGATTTATAAAATGATTCTCTGTTGTCTGTTCTCATCTTAGGTTTCTTGCTCTTTGTCCTTGTAGAGTCTTTTCTGATAAATAAAAGTGATAGTGCTTTTATTTACTGCATTAATTTCCTGCAGTAAACAAACACTACATGTTCATTAATCATTCAGTGACAAATGACACTGAGTATTGGAGCCAAACTTGCACATGTTCCTAAGCAACCACAGCACTTTGCTTCATTTTTCTCTCTCAATTTCAGTTGCAGAGCTTTGATCACATTTTACTCTCCCGTTGTTTCCACGAGGGAGTAATAATAGAAAAAAAGAAACCATCGTCATAACAAAACTTCAGACTAATAAAATTCGTAAAGTAAATTCCGTTGCCTAAATGAGGGCTGTGGAGGTCATAAGAAGTTACATCACCTGAGTCTAACCACACCCTCAGTACACTGTGGTCTGAAATAGGAGGAAGATGTGAAAAACTGCCGAGCTGTCTTATGAAAAGGCATTTGCACACCTCATACACTTCTTGCTCTGCGTCTTTCTTTTAAACAGTGAGGGTTAAAGGAGCTTGAAACACAGAGCTGCAACAAATCCATGAGCAGATCTGATAAAACACGTCCTTGAATAGACTGTGAACCTACCTTGGCTGGTGACAACTAACATAACCAGTTGGCTATAACCACACTGTCCTTTTCTGCTCTCTCTGGTTTGCTGCCCCCAGAACCAGCTCCCTGCATTATCCCCATCACACCCTACAAACACCCTGCTTTGGGTGCCCCCTGAAGCCAAAAGGAGGGCAGTGGTGATGCCAAGGAACACTGAAAGTAAATCTGGTCAAGTAAATCTGTATGATGCCCTTCAGCAGCAGCTGAATTATTTTTTTAACTGCAAAAGCTGTTCTAATATCACGTATTTAAACTTGATTTCCTGCCTGCATGCAATTTGAGTATTTGACCTTAAATTATTACATTAATTTGACCATAAAGCCCGTTCTTGTGCTGGTGGAGTGGAAAACCCTTCTAGTTACATTGTTCAACTGTCTGCAGGTCAAGTTGCACAGTTCAATAGCCGAGGGACGTGCTGAGTTCTAAGTGACTTGTCGAAAATTCTTTTAAAAAGAAGACGCACATTTGGTTTATCCACATTTGGAGTTTATGCATCCAGCTGTGAAGCTCTCCGGCTCTGATGTATGATTCACCTGGGTGAACTGAATTACTGGAACCTCTGAGATGTTGTGTATGTTACTGATCAAGCTGCATGCTTCACAACCAGAATTTCACGCAGAGATCAGACCCCGTGCTGAGCTGACAAAAACAACGCAGCACTTCAAGCCTGTCATCCAGGCACCTCAATTTTTCTGTCATATTAAATTTCTCACTTACCACTCTCCATTTTAGTTCATGTTATAGAGGCAAAACCTACTGCTTAAGGCAAAATGCACTCGTTGGAAAACTGGATTTTATAAATACAAATAGATCATTAACGTGTTTCCTAAAGTTTATGCAGAGCAAGCACCAAGTGTACAACAGCACTAAATGTGGTCTGTCTGTCTGCCATGTAGAAGAAAAACATCCTAAGAATTTTGTTGTACTTAGTCATAAAAATTGTGAATGTTGGCCAAGCTAAATTTTAAGGAGATGTTTGAGAAGAGTTAGCAACAGTGAAAACAGTGAAACAGCCTGGGCAGCCATCAAACACACCTGAATAACAGGGGTTTTTTCCTGAATCCTTCTCTTTGTTAAAGGTTTCATTTTCACCATTTGGATTCTCAGTGCTGTGTTTTGGAGCTTTTCCTATGGCACCATTACTCCTACTCCTGAAGGAACTTTGGTTTAACTATGGTTGAAATTTCAGCACTGGGTAAATCTCTGCTTTCATAACAGGACATCTCTTGGGTTCAGAAATCTGCTGAGTAATTAATTTTATTCATGCTGTGCAACTCTGTTTTCCCAGATATTAAAAAGCATATAGGCAAAGAATATGACACTATTCCTGGAATAAAAAGACAACAATTAACGTCACAAACTTTTCCATACCTTGAAAGTCATCTGACTTTCCCATTCAGTGAATACACATCCCCATCAGGGATTATTATACCCAAGAGATCTGGTAGTTTAGACAAGAGTGTAGTAATAGAGAACTTCTAACTGTAATGCTGTTTTTCACCTGTTTGTTGCTATTTCCTCACCCATAACAGACAATTATAATTAATTACTTTTCTGTTCCCTAGGACCACTCGTAGGAGTAAAACTTCACTATTTGTGATGAGATTTCAACATGAGAAAAAACTGCTGGATAAGCATTAAGTTGTTAAACTTGCTGCCACATTAGACTGTTATAGAGATGATGGGAGTCTGGGATTTAAGTCTCATGAACTAGGCTTAAAAGAAGACCCAGTGATTTTTTTCTATTTTCCTTCTTTTTTTTTTCTTCTTCTTTGCTTTTTTTTTTTTTTTTTTGGTTGGTGGTGGTGGTGGTTTTTTTTGCTTTTAAAGAAAACCATAAATATTTTAGGAAAAAACACGAAGTGGTTATATCTGGCATTTGTATTGACAGGTTGCCAAGACGTGTTTGGGGAATCGCAGTAACTCGACATCTCATTTGAAGGCAGCAGAAACAGAGACAAGCCTTCAGGTATTCCTCTTTCTGAGTAACTGCTGGGGTTTGATTAAAAGGTCTTGTGAAGGTATATTTGCACATTCTGCACTAAATTTTGTCTCAGAACACCACTTTCTTAGTTCAGATTTTGACTGCATTTTGTTGTGCATCAGAGCTGTTCATTTGATGGACCAAGAGAAGGTCACAACCATCATGATACTAAAGCAGCATTACACTTGTATGCTTTTGCACTGTAAAGATTGTTAAATATGCTTCCTTTATTACAGATTAGAATCCTTTTCTAGGTGCAGCTGGCAAACATCATATTCTGCTGTTGTAGTTTAAGGCTGGTACATCAGTTTAACAGAAATACAGCTCTGTGTGCACCAATGCCACGGATTTTTAACACACTTTTTTATCTGTTTATGTGTTTATATATACACAGAGAGTACACAGTGTTTACACTGATGCTGTTTTCACCCCCACAGAAGCTGCGCAGCCTTCCACGGACTAAATCCGAAGACAAAAAATCACCTGAAAGAAATGAGAAAAAATCTGAAGAGTCTGTTAGTACAAAAGAAAAAAAACTCTGAACACTACTAACCTACATTAAAAATGCCATTCACTTGCTCCCACCTTCCTGTTCTTTTTAGTGCAAAGTCATGAAATGTTCCAGGTTTCTAAAGCATGCATTTTTCACTATTTTATGAATGTTTGTCAACTAGTCTAGAATAGACCAATTAGTACCTTCCAGCCATAATCCCAAACGGATGTTTGAAGAAATGCTTGATAATACAGTCCAGTTTTTGAACTCTTGTTCTACAGGATCAGTAACTGCATAGTTTCTTTGTAAACAGCAGCCAATCTCAAGTATTTTCTCAGTCTGTTCTATTTCATGTACCTTTATGGCAGATTAGGTTTTTAAATTAAGATTAAGGGGCAGCTGGGAGGGGGGGGGGAGAAATATCTGTGTAGCCATAGTTGAAGTACAACCCATAAGTGCAACTGTAAAAAGGGAACTCTGGATGGGGGTCCATGTATTACCTTTCAGTAATGCCATTTCAAATCTACTAATTTAAACAATAAAAGATGTTTATTTGGTTCTTTTTTTTGTTGTTTTTTTTTCCTAACTGCTATCACAACTAGTCCATTTTCCAAACACTGAAGCATTGACAGAATTGGGTTCTGAGGGATGGAGATAAAGAGGGTCATCACTTTTGGGATTCAGTTAATTGGAAATAGTTTCTAGTGGTGTCAAAGGTAACATTTCTTTGCATATGGCACGCCTTAACTTAAAAGGTCACTGAAACTGTTTCAGTCATCTGTCAAGAAGGGACATGGATCTCCATGTGCATGTCCCAGAGGAATGAGGTAAGCTGTCCTACCTGGCATTTGTTTCACCCTTCTAAAGCATTCAGCAGTCCTGACAGCATATCTGCTCTTGCTGTAGCTGTTTATTGCTGCTGTGCCAAGGGATGGCTTGGGGTTGGTGTTCACAACATGAAAAAACTCTACCTTATAAATCAGCAACAAACCAGCTTGCTTTTTCATTTTTGTTATTATTGTATTTTATTTATTCAGCATACCTGAAGCCAGTGAATGGGAATATGCATCATTTATTTGGTATATCACCAGCAGATAATTAATGTAAGAAATCTGTTTACTATTAGAAAAGCAACAAAAAAATACTGGGGGGAGGGGAGGTGTTGTGAGGTTATTTTTTGTTTTGTGTTGTCTACAAAAGGTTTATTATTAGAAGCTTTCCTCTAGCCATGGGATCATAATCTGAGGTATGCATGCATGCATGTATGGTTTCAGGTTTTGTATGTCATTTTTCCTAGGTGACAGTTAAGATCAGGTGAGACAGAACTGTATATAAAGCCATGTTGGTGGGGAGAATTTGGTTAAATATGTAGGTACTGATTCTGTTTAGTCTGAGGAGTTCTTGGACACCTTGGAATTGGACATTGGTTGCCACTCATTTTCGGTGTGATTAGACACCTCTTGAAGGATGGTGACTGGGGAAATCCCTGCATATCTTCATACCTGCTATTTTTAGGATAATCTATGTAGGGATACAGAATCAAGAAACATAATGATGGATATATGGTTGTTTTTTATCTGTATGTGGTGTAGGTGTATCTACTATATGTGTAGGTATGGCTGAAAAAGCATTGCTGCTCTGAAGAGTCTGAATTTTATGGAGAGGTAGGTACATATCCAAAGGAAAATCTGTCCTTGGTGGTTGTGTCTCAGACAACTACAGCTCAACAACTCATATCTCTTCAGTTTGATAGGAAACCTCAATTTGCATGTGGGGAAAAAAATAGTATTTTAGAGAGGAAATTGCAATGTATAAGAATTTGTGTGTTAAAAGTCAAGGATTTTGAAAAGAAGCAAAAAAAACCCTTACAGTGATGCTTCCAAGCATTGACATTGCTTTTCACTAGCAAAGGTGTGCATATTTTCCCCCTTTCTCTGGATGGATAAATAGCCATTCTTCATTCCAGGTGTGACAGTGAGTAGTTGATGCCAAACAAACCTTGCTGCCTCCTTTGATTTGTGGTTACTCAGCCTGACAAAGAGCTGGTCACGAGGGAACTTCAGTTTGTACAATTTAAGTCCCTCTCACACTTTCTTGGTCTCCCTAGAACACTCCAAACCCCTTTTGTGTTGGGAGGGAGCCGTGTCACTTGGTCTCTTTTGCATTGTGGGCTCGTGGTACCACAGGGCAGAACACATTAAGATGTTTTGTAATTGCCTGCAGTTGCCTGGCAACCAGGTCATGGCCCACATCCTTCTCTCTGCAAAAAACCATAAGGAGGCAGAATGCTTTTTTGTCAGATATTCCAAAGGTTAGCTGTTAAAAGCAATTTAGTTTCCACTTCAAGTGCAGCCCAAACATACGCTCTTTTTTAAGAGCATGAGATGGCTTTTAGACTGTTCCAAGCTTTAAACTTCTATTTCATTTTTCCTTTTACAATACAGAGTTCTCTGGATAGTTCTCCTATCCATTTGTATCTACATGCATGTGTATTTGCAAGCATATATACACATTAAGCTACATGTAAACGTGCATATACATGTTTGAGTGTGCATGTGAACCAAAAATTCTGGAGTGGAATTTCATCCATAGTCAGGTATTACTTTGCCAAAACTTCCTGTGGCAATCCAGTTCAGATGCAGGTGTTACAAAGGGGCCAGAAGGACTGACTTTCCTATTTAAACAAGAATTTCTGTCAGTACGAGTGGGAGGAGGCTCTCACTGACTCTTAGAACATTAAAGATAAGATACACTGAGTTCTGTGCCTCTGTCTGGCCTTGTGGAAAGCTGTCTCACTTCTTCAAGTACTTCAGTACAAATGATGTAATACACTACTTTATATGATGTGAAAATATCACTGTGGGATAAGATAGTTTACTTCCATTTTTTAAGTCGAGTGTTCCAATTAAAAGATGTTGTGGAAGGATATGAAATATTAGCACTACTTCTTGCTGAAAAAAAACCTCTCAAATTTAATTTCTTAAAGGGAAGCTCCAGAAATGGGTGAATTTCTGGGAAAATCTCAAAGCAGTGAATAATAGCTAGAAATACCTATTTTATTTGTGTGTCTGCTATTTTACGTATTTTAAGAATTCTTTTTTCTATATATATGTGTCTGTGTATAAGGTGTCTATAAGAAAGGGGCTTGCTTACATCTTTCCACTCTTCTCATCTCCTGATGGACCTGGGCACTAAAAAAAGAGGCTGAAGCTGAATTTATTTAATGCATAATATGTCAGATCTATTTTCTTATTATTCCTGAATCAGGACAAAACATATTTGTCTGAGATAATGCAGTCAGTGTTTTTAAAAACTGTTCAGTGATTTATCTATCTGTCTCCTTAATTTCCTCATTTCCTTCTCTCTCTTTCAAATGCCATTTGAATTAGGAAAAAGGTGTGCATGAAGAAAGAAATGTGCTTCCTCTGGGAAATATCCTTATTTGAATTATTATGTAGAGATAAATAATTCACTAACTCAGAAAAGCCTGCATAAGCAAAACAAACAAAAAAAGAAAAATACGGAGAAAACCTTTTTATTTCCCTGGGTTTGCAAACCCACGGATTCAAATTTTAGTAGCTGAATGAAGAACAGTGAAGGAGAGAAGGTGTAGACAAGGACCCTGTCATCCTCTTTTTTTTTTTTTTTTTAATGTCTGAAAGGAAAAATAATGAGTTTGGATTCATTTTATGAGGTTGTATTGCCTTTTATTTACACCACTGGAAGCAAGGAAAAAAATTTAGGCAGCGACCTTTGAGGAAAAGTATTTCTTTTGTCAATGGATACAGATCTAGTCCTCCTAGCATGCAGCCAGGTAAAGAAAATGCTAGTTAAAAGAAAGGTGTGTGTTGTGTCTCATACTGGTTGGGAACATTTTCTTACAAGTTTGTAAAGTGCTTTATTCACATGGGAGCCACATAGGACATACTTTTTTTTTTTTTATAGCAAAGCAAAAAAAGCATTAAAGATTCAACTAATCCTGAAATTAGATGTCTGTAAGGACAATTTAATTCATGATGCCAAGGAGAGGTGGCTTGAATATTACATCTTTTAGTGTTAATCTTTTTATCATATTCCACGAAGCTGGAAGGATTATAGAAAACAACTTTGAAGCACAAGTGTAGATACATACAAGTACTTTCTGGTGCAAGGCAGAAACTGGTTTTGATGGTTTTGCCTCTGCTTAGGTGACAATTAGCAGTACTTTATGTAAATTGCAGGGAAGGTACAAAGTTCTGTTGAGCTCAAAGATTGAATATGATTATACACAGCAACTTATAAACCGATTTCAGACTGCAAAGTTAATATGAGAAGTGTTTGTCAGAATGTAAAAAAATCCATGAAATGAACCAACTAGGGTTTTTTTATTGTTTTCATTTAGAATAGTATCTCACTGAACAGTCTTAAAAACAAATTGGAAACCCTGTGGAGTGCTTTCAAAGTGTATATGTGGACAGCACTGAGATAATGTGAAGATACAATGATAGAAAAGTGTGCTCAAGGAACATATGCAGCCATGAGGCCTCTCTGAACTTAAATCTGCACACATGGTTTCTTTCCAAAATAGTTGCATAGCTCATCTTAAAATCCGGTTTAAAACTGCTTAATTAAATCTTTATTAATTTTTTGGAAACTTAGGTTTTATTTTCTTTGCTTCTGATAAACGAGAGGCTCTCCTTTTAATCATGTGTGTGATGAACATGGCACACTTACAAGGGTGTCACAAATGTGGCAAAAACAAGTTCCTATGTAAGATGTAAGTTTCTGGATCAGAAGTTTTTATACATCTACTTCGAGGAGAGGAAAGTCATGGTTTTAGCAAGTTTTATCTGTGAATAAGACAGTTTCCTTTATTATTTATATACTGTATTACAGTTCTATTTGGCCATTTAAATATGTGAGCAAGTAGTATCATGCCAGGCATGTTTACATATTTATTTTCTATATCTGCCTTGGGCTGGGGCACACCAGGTTACTGTAGTGATGCTTTGAAGGTACCAGCAATCAGAGTGTTCTGTGGGCCAACCTCCAACCTTAACACAAAAAGGTAAATATCACTAAAACTGTGTGTGCTTTTTCCATAGCACAAGAATGAAAAACATCCCTTTGCTGATTACCTGCAATGCCCCACACACACATTTTCACTGAAATAACTGAATTTTTTAAGTTACATTAACAGTCTAAACAGAGCAATATTCCTCTCGATGCATGGAAGTGCTGCCTCTCCCTGTGAGGATTTTGCCTGGGAAACTGCTACTGCACTGAAAAAAAAAGAGGGAGGAGAGAGGAGGGATCAGGGGAGAGAAGAAGATCAAGGAGCAGGAAGGAGCTTGAGAAGAGTCAGAAAACGGATACAGAGGGCATTGGGGGGAAAATTATGCATTTGGAAGAGGCATAAAAGAGGACTGAGCCAAAAGGATATTCACAATATGCATAGGAAAGCCATGAGGAGATTTCTTATCCCTGGTAACTGCCTAACAACTTTCACTGACTGCCATGTGCTGTCCCCTCTGCCATGGGATGAAAACTCACATTTAAATTTAGTGTAACTC